AAAGCAGCATGCAAGGTTTAAAAACTCCTTCTTTAAGGCGAATACTGTATCAAGTGTAACAAGTGTACACGCGAGCTTTCAGAGCTTGTTGTGTATGTAGATAGGCGGAAGTGTTTGTATGTCAGTGTGTATGTATGTACACATTTATGGTACTTTACCCAAGTATTTTCATTTTATACTACTTTATACTTCTACTCTACCACATTTCGGAAGCCAAACGCCGAACTTTTTACTCCACTACATTAATTTAACGGATTAATTTACTAGTTACTTTATACATTCCGATTTTGACACTAAATACTTATGCAAAACCTTTAAAATGTGATTATTTGGTATAGATTAAACCATCCAATATTATATTTAAGCAACTAAGACAATGAGTTGGTAAACTGAAAATGAATTGCCAGCAATTTTGCTAAGAAGTTTTTTATTAAAAAATATTTCACAATTATAGCTTCTTAAATGTGAAGATTTATTAAAAAAATATTAACATATATATTTTTTTCATTGTAATGAGTACTTGATACTCCCTATTCTTTAAGTACATTTTCCTAATCATACTTACATACTTACTTACTTAAGTACCATTCTCGATGCAGAACTTGAAATGTAGTATTTATACAGTGTAGTATTTGTTCATTTACTCAAGTAAAGAATCTGAATAATTTTTCCACCACTGTGCTTGGATAGTTTGCACCAGTGCCATACAAGAGCACGGAACTCATTGATAGGATACTTTGACACACATTCTTCGATATTGTAGGTTTGTCGCCTTTTTTGGTTTATTAAGGATGTAAGTTAATATTGTCCATATAATGTCACAGACCTGTCAGTCACATGATATACATCTGAACCACCAAACGGCAATAGTTTTTTTTAACAGAGTTCAACCTTATTTACCTACATGATGACTATTTAAAATAAGCCCTATGCCAATCGATTGACCCGTTACCTCAAATCATACATGTTTTAGGTACAAATTGAAAAAGACTAAACTACAGATCAAAGAAAGACAAAAAAGGGTAATTGTTGTATTTAGATTTTTAGAATCTGATGGCACACTGGATACAATTGAGCACACCATTTCGTATTTGTTTTAAGATTCAAAGGTTTATTGTCATAACATATACACAACTATGGTGAAATTATGTAATGATGAAAAACGTAGGTCGCAGGTTCCTCAACAGTGCAATTTAACATAAAACAATTGATTAAGTAACATCAGATCAAGATTCAATAAATGATCGTAATGAAAAATATAAAATGAAAATATTTACTTTCATAAAGTAAGGATTTATTGCAGGTCTGTTGTATTTTAGTGCATTAGTTTTTGCTAGATTTACCTAAGAAACTGGCAACCAAGTGTATTGATTAAGTGCATCACTTTCCTGTTGACAGAGAGTTAGTGCTGACAACCCTGTTGACATTACATTGATTGTGGTTAAACGGAAGTAACTGACACATGTTTCTAATTCTTCCAGGATACACAGAACTACCACCATGGTTAAAATGTTTATTGGCAATCTTGCCTGCAACACTACACCCGAGGAGCTCCGAGAACTCTTCGAGAAGTATGGAAAAGTCACAGAAAGTGACGTTGTCAAAAACTATGGCTTCGTACACATGTCCAACGTTTCTGAAGCAGAGGAGGCCATTCGAAACCTCCACCAGCAACAACTGAATGGCTGGCGCATGAATGTGGAGATGAGCAAAGGGAGGCCCAAGTCCACCACCAAACTACATGTCAGCAACCTCGGCGAGGGGGTTTCCAACCCTGTACTGCGGGCTAAGTTTGAAGAGTTTGGTACGGTGGTGGAGTGTGACATAGTGAAGGACTACGCGTTTATTCACATGGAGCGAATGGAGGACGCCATGGATGCCATCAGTAAGCTGGACAACACGGCCTACAAAGGTGAACTCTTTGGCAGGGGAGAGCTAGTTGTCTTTGCTGTCTATAAAAACAAATTTGGATTCTGATCTGTCGCTGTACCGCTCTCATGACAAGTAAAATCCACTGGCTTTTTTTCCAACATTGACCATGTGGACTGAAAGTAATCCCTTGTAAGTTTGACGGTGTCTTTTGTGAAACCAGTGACAGTGTTACTGGTGAATAGCCTCTGGCATAAAATCTCCTGCACCTGGCGCGGAAGGTTATTTCGCTTTGCTCAGTGATTGTCGGTAAAATGCATTTAGCGTGTTTAATAGTCGGTAAGAGCCTTTTTCGTGTCAGAACCCCTCGGTCTCATGCGTGTCTTCTCTCTCCTTACAAGGCAAGCTGATGAGCGTACAACTGTCCACCAGTCGGCTGCGCACGGCCCCAGGAATGGGAGAACATACCGGCTGCTATGTCTGCGGGAAACATGGTCACTGGTCGAAAGATTGTCCAGTCAGTCGGAACGGTAGCCACGGTGAAGGCTCAAGAGGTCACAGCAGCCGGGCCCCCCCACGCAGTCCTCCGAGTTATGGCAGGGGCAGCTATGAGATGCCCTCCCCTCCAGCTGAATACAGGAGTGGCTCTGCGTATAGTCGCTCTAGTTACATGGGTGGGTTGCCGCCTCCCCCTCGTAGGCTCAGCGGCTACAGCCCTGAGCTGGGGGAGCGGTACGCAAGCAGAGCGCCAAGCTCCTACGCCGAGAGGTCATCAGTGTATGACCGCGACCGCCTCTATAGCAGTGTCGACTATTATGAGAAGTACAGAGATCGGCCATACGGCTCAAGCTATTTTGAGGGTCGCCGAATGTCCTATATTCCTCCTCCTCCCCCACCCCCTCCTTCCTCCTTCTCAAAGCTCTCCTCCAGTATAGATGCGTATGAACGTCGGGCACTGCCGCCATCGGCTGCAGCATACTACGCACGAGACCGCAGCCCGATCAGACGGGTGCCGGTCTCCCCATCAGGTTACGCCTACGAGCGAACACGGCTGTCCCCGGTGTCGGCCACCAGAAGCTCCTACTCTGACCCCAGACCCAGGGATCATTACACACCACGCTATGCGCCTTACTGAAGCCTGGGTGCCAAGGTGAGCAACGTGACATTGTATGACAGTACTTCTGTTCTCTGAACAGAGGCGCACTTTACTGTACAACGTTACCAGTCAGTGGACACTGAGATCACAATTAGCTTTGTAACTTAGTTTTTAAGATACTGATTCCTTTTAAGCTATGGTGCTGATAATGGCGGAGTCAAATAAGGTTTAACGATAAGGATAATGAAAAATAATCTTGTTTTTATTTTTTTATTTGAACAAATACAGAAGCTAGTGCACACTACGGCTCTAAATATATTTAAGTTACTAAAGCCTTAACCTCTTTACTACACAGCAATTTGTATTTGAGTATGGTTCATCTTTATGCCCTAGTTTGAACCCTGTGTCTAAAAACGGTATTTGCTCTCTTTCAGGTCTGTTTGTGATCTCCAGGACTTTTCCTCTGCCGTCATTTCTCGAAGCTACGTGATTCCATCAGTCTGCGTGATGTGCTTCGAAGATAAGAATTGCGGTTATTATATTGGAAATTGTGTCTGCATCTTCCAGGCGCCTGAGATGCCAGTTGTCCGCAGATGAATCGTCCTTTCAATCACATTTACATAACCTGTTTTCAATAAGGACTGACTGCACCATTTGACATTAATGATGTATCTAACAGTAATTAGCCCACTTTTTTTTCTTACATGTGTTTCTTCCTCACATTAATTGAATTGTTAAATCCAGTACACGTTTGGCTCCTGTTTCTTATTTAGAAGAAGTGTTTGTTTCTTTTAATATATCAAAATGTACCTACCTTTTTTGAATGGAATGAGGGTTAACTGATGCTTCATCAGTTGCTTGTTGTACAGAATCTTGCCAATGGGAATATATAGACTTGATCTGCGTCACTTATATGGATGTGGATAAAGATTAATGTTTGTACCTAAATGATGATCATTGGTGTTTGTTAAATGTGCTGTGTTACTGAGATTCACACTGAACACAATAGAGAAAAGCATCCATATCCATGCAACTGACAACTCCAAGTGTGACACTGAGTTAGTTTCTATGGTAAGCAGATAATCTCAAACATTCCAGCTTCATTTTTCATCTAGTTTTAATCCATTTCAAAAAAATATATAATTTACACATTTGATAACACTTAATGAAGTGTCTGTTGATCTGAAGTCAACATTTCATAACAAGGGACACCATAAAAAAGTCAGCTGTCATGCAATGTGCACCTACATAACATTTTGTCTATGCTTTCTGTCTATGTAATGTTGCACACTTTGCCAACACAAAATAGTCTGTTATCTCCTTACTTTTATGCGGGATGGATGTTTTTTTGTGTCCATACTAGTATAACCAGATAGAGAAATGTGAGGCAGGACTCAGGGCTTGGGCTGTATGAGTGATGAGGCACTTGTGTTTTCTGGAAGGTGCCATTTGTGGGTTTTGGTGGTTTTTGGAGTTTGTATTTTTCATACTAGCTGTATACGTACTAGCATACATCTAAAATGAATATAATTTTGAATAAACCAAAACTGTTTTTGGTGACATTTCTTTCAGTTCTTTCTTTAAAACCCGAATTAATGTTGTCAGGTTGAGTATGTAGTGGAAATACCAATTTGAGAGACTAATAATCCACATACTGACTCGCATGGATTCAAAAGTCCAAATATTGCTTGTTATTAAGTAGCAACCATTGGGTATATTAATGTCGGACCAGAGTAAAAACAATGCAACATTTACATGAATGTTAACCAGCCTGGGTTTTAGGACCCTCAGAGGGTAGGCTAAAAAAAAATTGTTAATATAAAACTGATTATGGGCTGCTTTTCTTAAACAAGGGGCTGTTCTGTCAAGTATTAGAAGATAAACCGTTTTTATTTACATTTATAAAGGGAATTATAGGGTTATCACAATACTAGTGATATGTGATTTACTTGTTTGCGTTTTTATTATTTTCACTCCAATATTTAAAACAAAAAAAGTTTCTGTCTCATATCAACATGATGGCGTACCATTTGGCGCTGTAACGATAGTCTCTCCTAAGAAGGTTAAGGTGCTAGCAGAGTTAGCTGCCTGCTCCTGCTATGGTGTTTGCTTGCTCATGAACTGCTAACGTCAGTCAGTCGTAAAGGGTTCAATCGTCATTCATTCTCCGAGGGAAGAGACGCTCATCGCAGTTTTAAATCGGTAAGAATGTAAACATCACATATTGAACGTTATCTAAAGGCTTCTTTGTAATCAAAACTGTCCAATGCACGGACTGACGCTAGCTAGGCCAAACAGTGGTATCAAATGCGTGTTTTGTAAAATGTATGGATACGCTAAGCTAGTTTACGGACTAACGTTTAACCTACCACGTTTTTAGACAAGACATTTGGTTAAAACTGCATGTTAAAAAGCCTTGCTTACGATTTAAATCAAATACGATGATTTAGCTAGCGTTCTACGGAATACATTTTATGCCACAATGTTTATAAATCGGCTAGCATCATTAGCAGCTAACGAAAGAAGCTGCAGATACACGGTTTGCTGTGAATGGGAGAGATGTGTAGTGTCCCTTTTGTGGAGTAATTTCAGAGCTAGAAAGGTAGGCCTTTCTATACAAGCAAGAGATAAGCAATGCAAATCCACACTCTGTGTTCTGCAGACGAACATATTTACTAATAATTCTTCTTTTGAGGATATGCACTTTTTCATAAAGCATTGAACTCACAGCTGGGGCCCTGAACCATGGATATATGAAGAGAACTGGATACAGTCAGAGGTGGAAGATCTAAAGCAAAAGTACCAGAGTGTAGTAATACTCTGTTACAATTGAAAGTCCTGTATTCAAAATGTTACTAAAGTAAAAGTATTATACTTAATTTACCAAAAGTAAAATAACTCATTATTCAGATGGCCAATTTCGAGATATATAAACAAATATGTTCTGATTTTAATTATGGATGCATTAATACGTTTATTATAGCTGGTAAAGGTGGAACTTTTTTTTATTGTTTTATTTACTGCTGGGTAGTTTGTGAATTTAGTCCAGTGTTAAGTAAAGTCTTATTTAAGTGTTGATTATGTTTTATAGCATTAATCAAAATCTGTAAAGTAACTTAAGGTATTAAATAAATGTAGTGGAGTAAAAGTACAACATTCTGAAGTATAGTGGTGTTGCAGTACAAAGTAGCGGAAAATGGAGATACTCGAGTAAAGTACCTCAAATAAAATAAGTTAAGATAAGATGGACATTTATTAAATTCATGTGTCCGGGCAGCAACGGAATAAGAAGATGCACAGATGTTACACATGGAATATACACGGAATTGTACTTAAGTAAAGAACTTGAGTATATGTACTTAGTTACTTTACACCACTGGGTACAGTAATAGAGGCGGTGCACGTTTACTACTAACATAATATTCTTTTGTTTTGCAACCAATGTTAATAGCATAGATATAATAATATGCCATTAACATTGGTTAAACAAAACTGACCCACAAAATATGTCTTGACGAACAAAAATTATCTGTATATATCCATTGAGCATTCATTGTTGTCAAAGTTCATCTTGTGATGGTCTAGTTAGTATGATTAATTATCATTTGATTTAGGTTAAATCAATTGGTCAATGTCAAAGTAAATATAATTGTGATACCAGTGACCTTGATATCTTATTCTCCCTTACCCTTAGTGACGTGGGAGCTCCACGATGGTGAAAATATTCATCGGGAACTTGTCACCAGACACAACATCGGAAGAACTTCGCTCTCTCTTCTCCCAATATGGCAAGATTGGAGAATGCAGTATTGTCAAGAACTACGGCTTTGTGCACATGGATGACAAAGCGGAGGCGGAAGAAGCCATCAGCAACCTCCACCATTATGAGCTAAATGGCCAGCCCATGAATGTAGAGATGAGCCGTGGCAAGTCAAGAGGATCCACTAAACTACATGTTGGCAACATTGCCTGTACCAACCAGGAGTTGAGGGCCAAGTTTGAAGAGTTTGGCTCTGTGTTAGAGTGTGACATAGTAAAAAACTATGCTTTTGTTCACATGGACCGGATGGAGGATGCCTTGGAAGTCATTAATCATTTAGACAACACAGCTTTTAAAGGTGAACTCTTGGGATGGGATTAATGGGGATTTAACCATATATATGTAGTATCAAGAATATTTCAATGTGTGAATTGATAGGTAAGTTACGAACATACCCACAGGTAAGTGAAGAGTGAAAAAGGAAGAGAAGTTGAAGAAAGTATGGTCACGCTTTTTATTTTAAAGCTGGCATCCGTAATGCTCGATTGTTGTAAAACACGTGGGCACCTACTGGAATTTACGATTGCCTTGTAGAATCACCTCTTTACTGGATGTTAATGCAAGTAATGAATAACAAAGCATATCTGTATTTTTACAAATCAAACTCAATGGCATAGGCCCATTAAGGGCCGGGTGAATACTAGAACAGATGAGCGTGCGGTCCTGTTTTCCCTTATTTGGCTTCCGCACACAAGTCACGTTTGACCGCGGTGTCATTGATTTCCGGTTGCACATGCATATGATTAAATCTTTGTCACATGGACACTCTTAGCTACCCAGACATGGAAAGAATCCTTTGAGCTGTGTTTTAGCACTAGCTGATTCAAATAGCAATCTAACATTTAACCTTCCATTATAACAAGATGCTTTTTTAAAGTTCCCTTTCGCCATTGCAAGGGGGTAAGAATGTGTGAAAAGTTACGGATTTCAGCTTTAATTACAATATTTTACAAGCTTTATGACTGACTAGGATTAGGAGACTTTGTTTGCCAGGCAGGAAATGTCTAATATATATATTTTAAATAAATGCTGGCATAAGTCTTTATTGAGTCTTTTCTTTTTAAGGCAAACTGATGAGCGTGAAGCTTTCGACTAGCCGCCTGCGTACTGCGCCGGGAATGGGAGACAGATCGGGTTGTTATCGTTGCGGGCAGGAAGGCCACTGGTCCAAAGAATGCCCTCTAGACCAAAACGGATACCACAGAAACGGCTCAGAGCCAAAGTCTGATGGATACGATACTTCGAGATTTGGCGGGCGTGCTCACAATCGGGGTTATCCGGACTTCAGTGGCGATCCAGATTATGCTGGCGGCTATGCTCCTGTGCATGGTTATTCCCGGGGTTCTGGTCACAGCAGCAGCATGGCAGGGTACGGAAGGGGTTCGGACTACGAGAGTGCAATGAGATACGGGCCGCATCCAGATTATGGCATAAGCGCTGTTCCTGAACATAGCATGGCTCGGATGTATGGCAGTGAGGCGACATACAGGAGCAACGGCTCGGTCTATGGCGCGGTACCACCCTACCCGATGCGGCGGTCGCCTTACGACGAAAGGGATCCGTACGGGGTTGTGGACTACTACGAGAGGTACAGGGTCAATTCTTATGGCGGCAGTTATTTCGAGGAACGTCGCACTGTCCCGTTGCCAGCTCCATCCACGCCTTCCACAGCGTTAATGCGGGAACGTCTGCCCCCCTCTAGCCTCGACCCATACGAGTGTCCTCCCCTCCCTCATCCACCAGCCCCAGTCTCCGCATACTACGCACGTGACCGGAGTCCGATTCGGAGAATCCCTGTCGAGGCAGGTGGATATGCATATGAGCGTTCACGCCTTTCTCCGGTCCCCGCCCTACCAAGAAGTTCTACCTATGACCATCTGCGGGATCCCGGTGCCGATCGGGCACGATATGCATACTAATCCTTGTCCAATACAGCCAGGTGCGAGCTGTCTGACATTTAGTGGGTAGGATAGCCTAAGTGCCATTGGAATCACTGAAAATGTAAAGTAAACATTACTTGTCATTTGTAATATCAAAGGCAAAAATCCGCCCTCTTTGTATGTAAAGCGTTTCAGTAGTAAGATGACTATACAGTTTACAAACCATAATAGTCAACGAGTAGATTCCAATGTGGATGGTTATCTGCCCTCACATGCTATGATCTCATTCCAGGTACTTTGAAATGCAGTAAAAATAATGCTCTGTTGACACCTGTCATTGTCCTTTTTACTTGTTTTGGTTTTGGTGCAGCTCAGGCTTAGCCTAAGTGCCGGCTTAGCCTAAGTGCCGATACTAGGTTAATTTAACTTGTGTTGGACGTCTATTCAAGAGACTAGAAGAACTGCATTTTTGCCCCTCTCAAAGTAGCTATATGTTTATACACTATTTAGACTCTGTTAATAGAAGCAAATGAAATGAGTGCATGGTGCATGTTTTAAAGGGAACCTTAGTTTCACTAATTGAGTTTGTTGTTTTTTTTCAGCAAAATCTAGTATTTTACCATTTTACTTTGACTGTTTGTGCGAGTTCATTGTTATTAGATATGTGAAGCAATGCGAAAACAAAATTGAATACTGTATGCTTCCCCACTTACGTTGTTTAACCTGTGGGCTTAAATGTCACACCTGTACCAAATATAGACCTGCACACAAAAAAATGGTTAGACTTTTTTTATTTGGGTTATATCAAACATTTTGTGAAATTAAGTTGAACTTTATATCCATCTGCATTGTGATGTTTTTATCGGTAGGTGCATTACTTTCATTATAGATAATAGATAATAGATTTTAATTGCTGTGATAAGTATGAGGCTTCGCAACTTAAAACACATGTTGTTGAGTTTCATAATGACTATGACCTCAAATGTCTATGCTGTTTGTTTCGATTTCTAATGAAGAGGATACAAATAAAATCAGTTTCTCTAAAGCCTGAAAACTTTGAACTGTATGTTTGTTGTGCCGAGTCATCTGTCAAACCAAAGGCCTGTACTACGAAGCAAGATTTGGGGTTAGCGAGGTAACTTCAGGGTTAACTCTGGGTTTTCGGTCCAACAACGCTGGTTCACTTCTTACCGGGGTTAATCTCCATGGTAATTTATGCTGAACACCTAACCTGCTCCGGAGCAGGATATGTTCGGGATTAGGGTTAGTTAAACCAGATAACTCCAAGATACCCACGGTATGTGGAACAGGCTTTGTACTAGTACAGATCTCTGCTTAGTGAAACAAATTAAGGAAAATAAATGCCACACATGACCTTCCCAGCATATTGACCTTATCAATGCGTGTTTGAAGACATAACGACATGCTATATTAGGGTGACATGACATGTCATACAGTAGGTATTATTGTGCATGTACAACACATTCAGAGTCAGATGTAAGGTCTTGCAACATTAGACTGAATATCCATTACTGAATTCATATTGCCCGATACTTTCAGATGTTAACTGTGCATGCTTATTTAGAGGTCTAAAGCCAATATTCTGTCAGTCATGCTTTGCTACAAGATACCAGGTTCTAATCAACAATTGTAATATACAATATTTCTTGTGTTTGTAAATAAAGTGCCATGAAATAATGTAAAGGCAGAGAATACCTTCAAGAACAAGTTAATACGAGTGCATACTTGGTAGTAATAATTTATAATTCATGTTAAGTGTCATAACGGGATCGATACTCATAAGAACCAATCCGTTTTAAGAACTAGAGTAACAAATAAGACTTTTCACAAGGCCGAAGAGGAGGGGCTTGTTCTGGCCAATAGGATTGCATTTTTACGACAGCACATCCTCCTTGGTCCATAGGATCATCCTTTGTGGTTTTCCGTTGGGCGCCATTTTGATTAAAGTAATGTGAAGGTGGATTGAAGACAATACTGGTAGTTATTTTCTTAATTTAAACGACTTTATACTTGAGTCGACTGGAGTTGGACGGAGACTACGCTATTTGAGGACACCGAAAATGGCTACGGGCGCAAACGCAACTCCTTTAGGGAAGTTGCACCCCAGTATTGGCGCTAAACGAGGATTTGAGGCTGGGCCTGGTGCGGGGAACGGGTTGATGCCAACACCGGGGCCTCCTGCACCCTTTCCTTCTATACAAGCTTTTCAACCACCCATGCCCACTGCAGCTTTTCCGCAACCACATCAGTTCAATCCGGTGACAAGTTTTTCGCCCCAGGCCCAACAGCAACCAACTGCGGGAGGCGGAATGTCCAAAGCAGGTAACTTCACCTAACGTCTGCTAGCATTAGAACTCCTTAATGCGGCATGAGTTACCGCTAGCCTGTTAGCTAATGTGGCTATTTAACAAGGCCCAACATGAAGCCACGGCGCAAAATCGCGACAGTACTGCTAACTATGACTAAATAAAGACAATAGTTTACGTCTACGTGCATTTGCTAACACTTTAGCTCACTTGCAAGTGTTAACATGTTCCCATTCAACAGCTTTTGTTGATCATCCATTATACACGCAAGGTAAATAAAGAAACGTAACGCCATGTGTAACATTACGGCAAGGGAGACGTTACCTTGCTACGCAGTGTTTTAACGCTGTTTTGTTATTGACGCATATAGAATACTGATTGGACTAAACTATTAGCCTTGCATCCACGTTAATATGTCAAATGTTTACAACTTAGACCAGGGAAACGTTTTGAACGTTTTAAGCTGATCGGACCAAGCTTTCATGCTATTGGTTGGCGTGACCATACCCATCCCTATTGGTGTTTAGGAACGGGGCTGAGTGTGATCATGTGGCCTTTTTTATTTATTGTGGAGATGTTTTGGTTATACTTATGCTTAGGGCTGTGCGATTATGGCAAAAATCATAATCACGATTATTTGGGTCAATAATTGATATCACGATTATTAAATACGATTATTCATTGACTTTGAAAAAATCCATTTATTGAACTTTAAAACAAATACAAATAATAATTTGAACAGTATATTTTTAACTGTTGATTACCTTGAACGTATAATTCAACTGAAAAAACAATAAATAAAATAAATGATACATTTTAAATAAATAATATCAAAATAATAAATACCAATAAACAAGATCAACAAATATTTTTGGAGCGCACTTGCCCAAGCTACTAAACATATATAAATATGATAAATACAAATAAATGAGACTAAAATAAATTAGATCAAATATGTTGCAGTGCACTGTCACAACCTAGCAAAGCAAAATAATTGTTTTTTTCGATTATGTTGTTTTCGTAATTGTGGCAGGCCAAAATCGTAATTGCGATTAAAATACGATTAATTGCACAGCCCTACTTATGCTGTATAATCTCAAACGTTTTTTGCTAATCAACATTTAACACGGTTTCCCCTCAGAAACCTAAATGGTAACACGAATTTAAACACCTTAATCAGAATCATACAATACTAATACATACACACATCTTAAGACATTTGATGACATGTTAAGACGTACAATTTTGCCCCATTAACAAGGTCTCAGTAGTACACGTTTTTGTCCAACTTGCTTTATCGAAAACATGTCATGCCAAACTTATAAAACACTAATGTTAGTCATGTAAACCGTTGTCAATGGCTGAGTTGGCTTTATTGTTAACTTTGCTATTTAGTCCAGCTTCTCATGGCTACGTCTGAGTCTATTTCTATATATAAGTAAGGTGGCACTTGGATCGATTTACAACCTGTACCTCATGCATGAAGCTACTGTCAAGACGTATAATTCCTGTGTCTCTTGGTAGATTTCAATCTGAAGAAATCCAGGAAGAAGAGTCGCTGGAGCAGCGAGACACCTGATCAGAAGACAGTCATTCCGGGCATGCCCACTGTTATTCCCCCTGGACTGACCCGCGATCAGGAGAGAGCCTACATAGGTAAATATTTTATTTAAATAAAGACAGAAATAACTTGATAATTAAGGTTGTATCATATTGTAACTATTAATGCAGTTTGTTTCATAATGTCTCATCTATTACATCTGTTTGAGATTTAAGTTTCTGACATGCTGCATACCAGTATTAATGTTACATTTATGTCCTGTTTGCTGAATTCCCAACAGTTAGAGCTCTCTGAAGGCACCCACAACATGCATTACTAACTACAAGCTTGTAATATTTTTCAATGCATTTGACTGTGACATTAATATGTTACACAAAATGGGAAATGTCTAATTTTGCTCCAACTGTTGAGACAATGCAATCATTTCCAATGAGTAATGATTATAACTTGATGATGTAAGGTTTTAATTATGGTTATTTCTCTTTATTGGAAGTAAAATGATTCCGCTGTGGAAAATGTTTCTGTGGTCTTATGGTTTGCATACCATTGGGCACCCATTAGCAAGAAGAGTTTGAGATAAATGATTGAACACCACTGCTTGCTGATATCTGTCCAGAGCTGCAGGTTGCTACTCACTGTCTTGCCTGATCCCCTACACATCATCAGTATTGTTCCTGTGCATGGAGGCGTAACTCATAATGTCCTAACATGACAAAATGTGCTTCTGTTTATATTGGTCTAAGTGTGAGCAATGCTGCTTCAATGGCAATTTAATCAAACCGGTTTTAATTATAATTTAATCTAATTGATTTAGTGGGCATGCACATTGGGATCAGTTGTTCTGATTGTGGCCTTAACAAAAAACTAATTATTTAAAAAAAAAAAAAAAGTTTTTAACCACAAATGCCTTCCAGCAGCACTGTGGCACCAAAATACTGCCTTCACATGCCCTCAGCGGGGTGTTCTGAAGCAGATGAATCCTTTTTTTGTCAATAACTGACATTGTTATTGATTCTGTACACTCATTGGTAATGGTTGTTCTTCCTTGGTATGTAGACATTCATTTGTGCCCGCCTTCTGTTGGTCACACTTATCGTTTCCTTTGCTCATTCAGTAGACCCCCTTAAACAATCCAAGGGAAGCGTTTTAAGATGACATTGCTGTGATCCACCATTCACAGGCCCTGTATTCATCTCTATAATCAAAAGTAATTGTTTCAGGGACCAGTGAATCTCTGTGTATGGGGGGGTTTCATTGCAGCTTCATAATGTGCATGGGATGACTGATTTATTTCATTGCGTACTAAATGTAATAATTTCCTCTGTCACTGCTGCCCCTCATTGTAAGATCTGTGGAGTGCAAAGAGTGACTATGATCACCTTTTTATTTATTGTTGAACATGCAAAACAAACAGACCAATCAGTGATATTCTAGACCTGACGTGTCCTTAAAATGCCAAAGCCTGTGTTGACATTTCAGAATGTGAAGCCCCTGTGCGCTTAGGTTTGAAATATTAAAGATATTGATATATTTGGCATATATTTGGCATAAGGAACCATGGTCTAGACATTTACTGATATGTTACCACGTTATCATTTTCTGAGCAAAAGTATGTTTGGTTTATGCTAATATAAATTATCTCTAGAACATATTCGCAAATGTGTTCCTTTGCTGTTCTCAGATAGGACTTAAGTGTGCGAGAGTCTCACAAGATGTTCATTTGATCTCCTTTTATTTAACAGACTCACCATTTGTCTTAACCTCAGTATTGTATGAGACATTGCTCTAATGTGCAGAGCATTGTCTCTCTGATGTTGTTATGGTAACCACATTTCTCTCCATCCTTGTTTTTCTTTCCTAACCTGAATTCTTCCAGTCCAACTGCAGATTGAAGACCAGACTCGTAAACTGCGTACAGGAGACCTGGGAATCCCTGTTAACCCTGAGGACAGGTCGGAAAAAGTTTAAACCCATGAACAGTAACATTTTCTCTACCTTCTTGACTTTTTGGAAGACAGATGTTGATTTTCAGTATATCTATCTATCTATCTATCTAGCCTAAATCTCAGATCTCATTGTAGCATTAGATTGCAGATGTATAGTCACAGAGCCTAAACATATAGGATAATTAATAAATATAGGTGTATGCATTTTTTTG